GGGGGTTAGCCAAAAATCCCAAAGTCAATGCCTAACACGCGTCGCCGGGTAGTCTATTCCCGTAAGAAAGACGAAGTCTACGTATTCAATATCGTAGCACTAAAAGGGTTAACTCTTTTAGCGTAACGTCACATGCGGAACGGACTTAAACAATCCGCATGCTAGCCCGACTCAAACGGTAGTCGGTAAAGGCTTATCAAACCCGTTGATGGCTGAGGGTTTGCCAAAAATCCTATAAATACGAGAGTCACTGACGCATCAGCTTCATTAGTTGGTCTCGTGACTTGAGCATCCAACGACATTCGAAACCCTAGGGTCAACGCCGGACAACGCGTAATTCTAGGTCGACGCCAGTCAACGCGTTGCAATCAAACAGTCAACGTACGACATTCGAAACCCTAGGGTTAACGCCGGACAACGCGTAATCCTAGGTCAATGCCAGTCAACGTGTTGCAATCAAAAGGTCAACGTACGACGTTCAAAACCCTAGGGTCAACGCCGGTCAAAGCGTAACCCTAGGTCAACGCCAATCAATGCGTTGCGATGAAAGAATCAATACTCCGAAAAGTATACGAGTATAAACTGCTTCTTAAATACTCTGAAAAGTATACGAGTTTAAACTGCTTCTTAAATACTCCGAAAAGTATACGAGTATAAACTGCTTCTTAATACTCCAATAAGGTATACGAGTATAAACTATTCCCTATTGTTGGTTGAGAAGTTCCTGGAGAATATTTTCATTCTTAAGGATAACTCAACAACACTACGCCGGACAACGCGTCGCAAATAAAGACTCAACGCCGACATTCGAGGGTCAGTTCTGTGTTCAACCAACAAGCACGAGCTAAAAATCAGAAAACCAGGAATTGACTTCAAGTTCGAATTTCCGACAACGGTCAGACAATAAATGCAGCACCGGAACCCTTACAGACATTCGACAAAGCACCGAATAGCCTGGAAGATTGAAGGAATCAAGAACGGAAGTCATTCCAAGGTCCCATTACACCGACTGAAGGTGGGGACAATCATATCCAAAGTATTCCAGACTCTTCTATAAAAGAACGAGGCTGAAATACTTTGGAGGGGGTATCTGTAGGCATATAAAATTGCTTATAGGTCCATTAATACAGCTCGGCACAAACTGACGAACCAACGAGGCGACGAGATCGACAAATCGCACGCGAGCAACGGAATACGTCCATTCGCGTTCGGAATCAAGCCAAGTATTGAAGAGTCAACGAGTCATCCAACCAAGGACAAACTCGGACGAATCACGATCGAATCAAGATCAGTTTCGGACTCAAACTCAGAAGCGGGTTTACTGCCAAATCAGGAATCAGATGTACTGCCAAATCAGATCAACGCATCAGAGTCCGAATCAATCACAGAACCGAATCACGGACAAAACGGATACAGCGCAAGAAGACGGAAAACAACAAACACCGGAGGGGCTCGGCTCAAACCGAGCCACCCCAGGGTGGCTCGGCCCAGTGCCGGCCACCCAGAGGTGGCCGACACTGTTCCGTGCGCGGGCACAGTAAAGGGTTGGAAATTTTGGAGAGAGGCGAAGCCCTGCTGGATTGGAGACTCAGATCTAAAAAAGATCTCAACTTTGGGACTTCGAGGACTTGCTCATTCAGATCTGGTGCTCGGCGACCGTCAACGCCAAAAAATGCAGGTGTTCGAGAGGACCGGATCTCAGATCTACGCAGACATACTCCGGATCTAAGCTTGGTCTTAGATCCCGAGACTTGGACGATTGTTTCCTTGGTGAATCAATCCTCCCCGGCTATTATTTCCTTCGTGGAATAATACCCATAGTACTGCCTAGATCTGACCGGATCTAGATCTCGCGGTGGTCCATGGATAAACCCCGGCGCAGGCAAAGAACCCACACAAGCGAGCGACCGCAAAACAGGAGCTCGCGATTTGTTCGACGAAAGAGAAAAAGTTGTAATTTTTAATTTCCTTTATTTTTTATTTTCATTGTAACCGGATCTAAAAAAAGACCGGATCTTCTGTAACCGAAAAACTGTTATTCAAGATAGCAATGGAATCAATGAAGAAAGCAACGATTTTTCCCGCGAACAGATACTACTACCTTGAGGAATAAAAGCAAGAATAATTCAATCTAAAATGTGAATAGAAATATCAATCCAAACTCATGACAAAGAAAACAAAGAAGTTCTGGCCAGAAAACATTGAACCCAAAAACTAGTTTCCCTTTAGCAAGGATACGCAGTAATTCCAGTTTTTTTTTAATTTACAAATTGTAATAAAAGCTGCAAGTAAAAGCACATATCAACCATCAAAAGTTTTCATGAACTTGCAACGATACTACTAGCTTGAGGCATAAAAGCAAGAATAATTCAATCCAAATGTGAACAGAAATATCAATCCAAACTCATGACAAAGAAAACAAAGGAAGTAGCAATCTCACCTGCAATGAGTCACAATTGAGGCAAGCCCATCAACGCTAAACTCTTCACAACTATCAAGCACAAGAGCCTTAAAATTAGGAAACGAGAGAGAAAGGAGCTTAAGATTCTCATTAGAAACCATCATCCTCTTGACATCAGCTCCTCCAATCCAGGGCACTACCTAACCGCCACCTCAATCCAGGGCCCTGCAAACCCTCCCCATCCATGTGGGACCATGTTGAAGTCCGCAAAATGCGGTTTTTCCTTAACTCTCAATGATTTCACCTCCAGAAATCTCGTCATTGCCCTCTCAGGCCTCACTGAATAACAATTGCCAATGAAAACCGATCTTCAGCTAAGCCTCTCAATCCTAATACCAAATCTTGCAGACCACTGAGACTGCATTCCGGTCTCGGTGGGATTCGAGGAAGGAGAAGATGTGCCCAACTACCTCTTCAGGTAAGTAGGTCATGATAGTAGAAAATGGCATGAAGACTCAATTCTTTCTAAGGCTAGGGTGTGAGACAACAATATTTGCTCAGATCTAAAGCTAAGTTCCTTTCAAAAAATAGCAAGAGATCAGCCTACCCACTAACAATCACAGAACAATTATCAAAAACAGCAAGAGAACCCATATCTCTACCTGAACCCGTTTGAGAATTTACACATGATTATACTCTAAAACCTACAGCTCATCTCTCCTCAAATAATGTAGAAGATACAATCATTTGGAAGAAATTACTCAGATCTTACCATAAATATCAATCAAAACCCCAACTTTCTCCCCACCCAAGTGAGCAAAGATCTTGAAATTCCCTAAAATCACTAAAAGGAAGCATTTTTCCAATTAGATCTGATTTGGGTCCAAGCTTAGTTGCAAACTTTACCAAAAAACTAATAGAAAAATCAAGAAATTTTAGAGAAAACAGTAGGAGGCCGAGATCAAAACAAATTTACCAAAATGGAGTAGATATTTGTTCCTCCGATGAATTGGTAACCCAATAAAGTTTCTTCCTCGAGCCGCATCCTCGGTAAAGTGCATCTTTTTTTGCTTTTACATCCATCTGTAAACATCGGTAAAGATCTACATTTAAAGAAATGCTATGTGGCTATATGTGCATGTTGGGAAGCAGATGACTAGACCAACCTAGGTGACTGCTTTAACAGATATATCTATGTGAGTGAATTTTTAGATGTGAAAGAAGAGGATAGCCACTCGTCCAAATTAAAACATATCTATGATTAAGTATCCACAAGCCCAAACCCTATAGGATCTGGACATATGGACAATTTTAAGGAAATGAATATTTGCTTGAAGAAGAGATTATCCTAAATCATGCATGAATAAATCGAGGTAATAACTTCTCAAATGGAGATGGTCTCTGGCCTTTTTAAAAATTCTTTGACCACCTTTGCCTAGATCCACTATTTAAAAGAATACAAATGTAACAATATTCCAAGGCTATGCCACGCTACATATCTATAACACCTTTCTAGGAACGTAATAGAATTCTTTGACCAAAAGTTCTAGGTTTTTTCAGACGTATAGTTTGCTAGCGTGTGTGTTATAAGTATGTAACTAACCAAAACTTCAGAGATTTGCAACAATAGAGCTAGTAATGTTTTTGTGATGCTACTTCACAGCTAGAAGATTATACCATTATACACTATACCAATCCATATATAAATTAGTTCTTTTAGTAGCAGGTTTCACTTCATGGCCGACAGCAATTTGCTAGAGATTAAACATAATTTATGAACCAACATGTCTTTTTTGGAAGAAAAAAAAAGAAATTTGAGAAGTGAGATTATAGCTGAATTACATAAAAATAGATCAAAACTGTAGGCCAAATGTACAGCTCTTTCAGTATGCACTAATGGGGATAGGGACTAAAGGATCCATTTACTATGTCAGCAAAATGAGCAACTTGGATGAACTTGAGAATTTTGATATGTTATATGAATGTGGTTTAATCTTCCCAGAGTTTGTGCCTCATTACTAATAAGAAGAACTAAAAATTAAGACTCTCATGTGATTAGTACTATAGAAGGAACCCCAACCAGTACTTTATAGAAATAAGCCTAGATCAAACTCGGGCAAATAAGAAAGCTATGAATTTACTGCAAACAATATGCACAACAGGTAATAATAAGACTGAGCAAGCGTGTACATGCAAGTTAAACAATATATCTTTATATCTGTCTGATTCAAACAAAAATTTTGATATGAAGGAAATGCTACTTCTCCACATATATCACAAGCCATCATTTATCACTCCAAATTACCAAATATCAGTCATATTACTAACATTGCGAAACATGATAACCACTATAAAAATTGAAGTAACATAAATTCACTTTATTCTTAAATGAATACTTTTGTTCAAATCATAAAGCAATGGCATAAAACCAAACCTACATCCTCACACCCCTCAATATAGATATAGTATGTAACTTATAGTACACCCCTCACAAGAAGCACGCTCTTTACACTACACTCCCCTAACAGAGCCTAAGTGTTCCTCATTGCAATGTCCAAATTTTTATTTCTAAGCTAAAACTAAGTTCAGAAAACAAACCTCAATTGCTCAACCGCTCATCAACCCCGCTATACGCCATCGCATTCTCCACAATCAATCTCTCCTCCACCTCAGCCTTCTTCTCCTGCACCTTATGAGACCTCGTCATCCTCGCAAGCAACACAAATGACATCCCACTAAGTACATTGTTCAAGCACCTTAACCTAACAATCAAAACCTTAAAACCAGTCGGAGGCAGCACTTTTCCTAACACAAACTCCAAAGCATTTAGCATCTGGTACCTCAAATTGCTACTGATTCCCATATGCACAACCCAAGTCATCGCATTCAGCAATATGGGTGGCGGCTTGTTGGGGGACACAAACTCTGGGTCCATCCTCTTCCTTAAGTAATCAGCCCATTTGTAATTGCAGTCCCTACAAGCCCAACGACGAACCCAACAGCAACAAAGGTGGCTCCTTTATTAATCAAAGTGGCAATTCTTGATGAGAGAGCGTAGGATCCAGGCTCGAAAATGTAGGAGGGGAGGAAGAATATGGCAGCGTTGGCAGTGGAGGCGACAGCGGTCGGGGTGAGAAGGTACATTAGTGTGAAGTTGAGGATTGATCCGACGACGAGGGTGGAGAAGATGAAGTCGAGCTCGTTAAGGCCAAAGTTAGGGCGAGTGGCCATGTCATCAAGCATGCAGGCGGAGACGCCGATGAGCTCCTCCATTGGAACCTTGAAGGGGAACTGCGGATCAGCCGAAACCCTAGCTCTCCATCCACTGAGGAACATTTCGATGGGGTCCCAATGGACTATTGGATGGATGGGATTCGTCATGAGGGTGATCGCTTCCGCCGCCGTTATTAGCGCCGGATCCAGATTCGTTGTTATTGTCATCGAATCCGGATCCAAATCCGGAGAGGATTGTCTCGGAGGGGTTAGAGTTTAGCGACCGGGTGAGGGGTAGGGTGGTAATGTTGGAGGTGGGGATGGAGATCGAGGGGAGGCAGAGGTGACAGCAGTGTTGTGGGTTTCTGGCAAGGTTAGAGAGAGGGTAGAAGAGGAGATGGGAGGCGGCGGCGGCCATGGCGGCGGGGGCTACGACTATCTTACCAAGGATGGAGTCGACGAGGTCGGGAAGGAGTCGGGAATTTTCAAGGAGGCGTTGGGCAAGATTTTCTCTCCCTCTCTCATTTTCGCTCTGTTTGAGTCGCGAAAGGGGAAGAGAACTGAGAATATACGAGACCTTCTATGGTGATTTTAACATTCACTTTCTTTTTTATTTTCTTTCAAATCAAACAAGGAAAAGATACTTTCTATTGCACTTTCTTTTTCTTTTCTTTACTTTCCTTCAAACCAAACATGGCCTTAGCATTTCACTTTAATCTAAAAAAGACCAAAAAATTAATTCACATCTGACCAAGAAAATTTTCTATATTGCAAAGTTCATCACATGCCATATCCTATTTGGATTTAGGCTATCCATACCAAAGCAGCTCATCTTAGTGGTTCTTCTTGGCAGATTCTACAGTCATTCTCCTAGAAAATAGGGGGGTGTTACTCAACTATAATAATCAATTATGACTCTAAAGGAAAAATATGATAAAAGTTTTAGATAAAAGTAGCGAATACCAGTCAAATGCTGTTATCCTACGAGCAAGTAGTGAGCCATAGGGTATTAATCAAACTCCAGAAATGCACTACAAAACCGCTTCTATTTGAAGCACTGAGGATCATAGATCATACCATGAGTTAAAAGAATTCCTGCATGTCGTTTGATTCATCACAACAGATAGAATTTGAAACTTGACCTTTTTGACACGCTGAAAAGGGCTATGCCCGATCCTTTCTGATCTCGAAGAAGTCACTGATGTCCAGATATATTTTTCTAGAAAAATTCCTCAAGGACTCAAAATATAGGATCAATAGGGGGGGACAAGTGAGGTGTCCCCCTCCTATTGGATAATGAGTTGGCCATCATTAATGATGGCCAACTCATTATCCAATAGGAGGGGGACACCTCACTTGTCCCCCATATTGGTCCCATATTTTGGGTCCCTGTAGCAAAGCTCATTTTTCCATCATCATCATCTACAAACTGAAACAAATACAGAAAATGCACTGGTCGACCAAAGTTTTGATCTTGATAAAGAGAACAAAAGAAGTTGGATCTTCACGAGTTTTGATCTTGTAGGACGCATAACGAGCAAATTCATAGAGAAGTTGGATCTTCACGAGTCAAATACAGATATTGATGAATTATTGACTTGCCCGCAAAGAAGCAACCATATCACTTAATTAAAAAAGATGGATTCTAATAAATTATATATGAAAATCGTCTATCTTAATGAGATAAAGCTATCTAGATTGATAGATTTTTGAATTCACATCAGTATCACCGATTTTGGGTAAAAATCTATAAACAATCAATTTTTTTATTTTTTAGTAATAAAGTTGGAGTCAATTTAGATTAGAAAATAAATTCAATGTTGGAGTAAAATTAGATCAAGAAATAAATTTAATTTTAATTCATGATTTATTTCCTCTATTACTGGGACTCTTCTTATGATAGGATTTGATACTTTATATTTCTTTGTAGTTCTAGTCTTATTAGGAGACTAGTTTATTTTTCTATCTAAGAGCATACATATAAACCGAAAATTATTAGATCACTTTTATCAATAAAATTTCTTTTTTAATATTTTCCTTGTGAATTTAAAGTTCTTCCTGGATTCAGAGATAGTTCTTTGTGAATTCAAAGAACAATCCTTAATCGATTCCAATGTCTATTACTTTTACGCTACGTTAATTGGTATTGGAGATTTGTTTCCAATCCCATTATAGGCAACAAGGCCCATAATACCCAAAATCAGATTAAGACTCATACAGACTAACTTGTATTGTCTATAGAGTGTCTAAACCTGAGACGAGTTTGAGATCATGTCGATGGTTGCTAAAGACGTGATAGGACTACGCATGAAGAATTCAACAGCGATATCGATGAGTATGAAGTCATGCGCCGAAGTCATGGTTGTAGAACTACTCAAGATGGGATATCTATGATATTGAAAACAAAAGGGTTGATTTACTATCTTTCAATGGGAAAGTCGATGTAGAAGATTTTCTTTATTGGATTGATGAGGTGGAAAGATTTTTTGGATACTTGGTGTAGGCATAAAAAATTGCCTATAGGTCCCGAACATAGCTCAAGACGATGAGCCATCGAGCGACGAACCGTCAGATGATGTGGCGATGAGCCGTCGAAACTACAAAGCGATGAATCACTGATGACATTACAATAAGCCAGCTCCATATGGCCCGTTCACTTGTCAACCATCTCTAAATTAATAAAACGCATCAAGTGAATCGATAAAGCGTACAAGTCAATGAAGTGATGAAATATGCATAATAATGGAATAGGAACAAACCGAAAAAGGCCCTGGTGACCGAGTTGCGTCAAAATGACTTGGCCAAAGCCAGTGGCTCAGCCCAAGGACGAGCCACCAAATGGTGGCTCGCATGGGCGTGAGCCACCATTTGGTGGCTCGCACATTTTTGAGCCGAAAATGCATTTTTGACGGGTTTTTGTAGGATTTGATCATTTCAAAGCCTCCTAACTGTTTTGATACTATCATTGAATGTGGTTAAGTGGTTGTTAACTATGGATAACGTCAAATCATTAGTTTTTATCCGAAAATACTATAACCGAAGCCTATAAATACAAGCCTATGGTCTTCATTTAAAGTGGTGAAAAAATTATTATTATTAATTGCAACTAAAGTTACAATTTGGAAGGCCTTCTCAATTAAGAGTAGCCCTCCTCTCCAAAAGGAGTTACAAAAATTTTCACCCCTCTAACCCTTCACTCTTTACCCCTATTTATAGTAAACATCAGTGAATGAGAGCCATTGGATTGAAATCTTATCCAAAAATAACAAATTCCAGCCTTAGATTCGTAACAAACTGCCCAGCGTATCGATGCAGGCATCGATACAGGCATCGATGCTGGCATCGATGTCGGTATCGATGCAGGCACATCGATGCCGCCATCGATGCAGGCATCGATGCCTGCCCTTCTCCTTTTGCTGTCCGCAGCTTCTTCTTGTTGTTTGCTTTTGGGCTTTGGACATTGGGCTTTTCTTGGACTCTTGGGCTTGGGCTTTGATTTATCTCTTCATTAAATACTTGAAAGAATTCATTGGGCTTCATGGCTTCATTTCTTCAATTAATTATGGGCTTTTTGTTGAGAGATGAGGGTTTTGAGATTTATTCTTCATTAACCTGCAATTAAAGATAAAAAATAATTATTAGTAGTATATTTATTCATGTAAAATAGATAATGAGGGTATAAAATTATAATAAAATATGATTATCAAATACCCCCACACCTAAACTTTTGCTAGTCCTCTAGCAAAGAAAAATAAAAATAAAATCCTAACTCATTTTCGCAGGAATCGCGGTTGTATTTAGCGCATACAACAAGCTTTTAAACCCCTAGGTTACCCTAGTAGACGAGTTGTAGTCTCGTGAGGGTTTGCAGTGAATATATGATACGAGTTGCCGTGCGAGCACCCTTTGGTCGCGGAATTACCAAAAGGTGGGTTGAGAAGAGGACGACCAAAACACAAGAACAATTCAGTTTGGCGAAGGAAAATACCTTCTCTAGATTATGAAGAACAAAAGATTACAATCTTTCCCTCACAATCTCACTCTAGAATTGAAGAACAAGCTCTCCAAATCTCAATCTAGAATCTAATCTCTCTTGATTAAACTCTCTGACCTAAAAGAAGATCTTTAGAAACCCTAAAACAATCCCTTATATAGGTGTACAAACGTGGATGGCAGTTTGGTAAATAACCAGACCCAAAACCAACAGGAAAACGCGTGAACAGAATCCCAAACGAACCAGGAAACCATCGATGAGTCGACTCATGACTGAGATGAGTCGACTCGACAGAAACTGGAGAAATCTCATCGACTTATGACAGTCATGAGTCGACTCAACCTGATGAGTCGACTCATAACAGTCATGAGTCGACTCACAGGCTGAAAACTGGGTACTTCGATTCTTCTGCTCGTCGTCTTGTTCCACGCTTCCTCCTGTGTTCCCTTATACTATTTGACACCCCCTATTCTCATGCTAGTATGAGAATCATCTATCCTCAAGCTCCCATGAGGATCGCTAAGTTCCGAAGAGAAGATACACCCGTATTATGTGTCCCCTCTTTAAGAACTTGAAGTCCCGTTCAAGTTAGAACTTCAGCTGAGGAAACTCTTGAGCTCCTCCATCTTTTCTGCACCACCTGACCTTGCTAGGAATCCGGTCTCGACGTCCGATCGAAAACAACTCATTCGTCCCACGTCTCGTCATAGTCACCGTTCGCTCGAAGTTGCAATCCTTTGTCGATGGCTTTTCTGGAAGTCTAATGCACAACGAGACAAACTTCTTGCTTGCATTCACTAGTCTCTTCGCTCGCGTCACTGTTCCCAAGCTTATCTCCTTCGGAAGAGATGCCGAACGAAATATGAACTTTACACCATCCTTAGTGAAGGTGTACTTCTGAGCCCGCCTCTCGTAGATCGCATATCTATCCCATAAGTACGGATTGCCCAGTATAATCTGACAAACATCCAATGGAACGACATCGCATGTGACCTCGTCAATATACGACTCGTGGAGCGCAAATCTGACAGTGCATTGATCAACTACACTCAGTTTCTCCTCCTTCTGAATCCACCCCAATAGATAGGGCTTCGGATGCTTGACCGTCTTCAGACCTAGCTTCTGCGGGACTTCTTTCGGACCTTGAGCTATCATGTATGCCTTTTTCTCCTCCTTCCTCTTCAACCCTCTTGGTTTCAGATGAGGATACTTCTCCCAGCACCGATCAGCTTCGTGCCCTGTCTTCTCGCAGTGATTACAAATCAGCCCTGCTTCCCCTGGATCACCCTTTTTCTTCTCCTCCTTAGATTGAGAACCACTAGACTCACCTCCCGTCTGTTTGGAGTCTCCCTTAGCCTCGTTGCCCTTCTTTTGCCTACCCTCAATGGCAATTGTCTTCACGCTCGCCTCTGCAATTGATTCCA